AACGTGAAATTTTCGTGCGTTGTATATCTGTGGTACCAAGAAACAATCCGCTAATGTAATCTCGTCACCGACACAATATTTGCCCGCGCTCGACGATAACAACTTCTCTACAGCTAAAATTATTATTAGTACTTAATTATGCACATATTCATATATTAACGACAAGACATACAGTTTCCTTTTTAATACATGCAGATTGCGGAATTATGTGATATTTTCCTCGATAAACCAGATATTCAATAAATAATTATAGTTGCAAATATTTGTGATCTTTATATTACTAGAGTTTAAAGGCAATACATTACACAAAGTAACTATTTATTTCTTTTATTTATAACTGTTTATTAAAAATTTATTTATTTAAATTCGAAAGTTTTATGAAAAAAAACTTCATGTTTATCTTTTATCACATAAATCTGCAATCCTACACAATATTACAATTATTACGAACATTATAATATTTTATTATTATTATAATACCTGTAAACCCTCTAATAATCCAATGCTGCGCCCATTCCTCCTTACGTTCTTCTCCGACATAAGTTAGAAGACCAACATTTTGCAATGGTTGTATACCACTGGCAATTACTTCGCAAATCTCTCTCACTCTAGCTCTTTTGACAGGATCCGCCGGCATCAATGGACGATTTGGCCTAGTTTCTTCCAAATATTGTAGGATATTCAACTATATTAAAAAGATTGTTTGTTATTATTCTAAAAAAAAGGTCAGAACACATAACTAATACAAGAATATTCATGACCGAATTTACTCACAGACTCTATTAAAGTATGATTGTCAATATGTAGCGCAGGGACTTTCTCCATTGGATTAATCTCACGGAATTCATTAGTATGTTGTTCTCCACCATTCTTCACCAAACTAACAGGCTTTATATCATATGGTATTTCCTTTAGGTTCAATGCTATTAATGAACATCAGAAACATTTAAATCTATGAACATTAGAAACATATTTAAAAAATAAACTTTACACACAGTAAGAATAAAATTAATTCTATCTATGAAACGACATTATAGCCGGTTCATAAATGGTTCTTACTTTAAGACTTATTTCAAGTCTTAAGTAATATTTTAATATGCTAATATAACTTTGTGGGTAGTATTCATAGTCCGTTCTTATTTTAAGGTCGTCTTAAGATGTTAATACGGCTCTCCAATTGGTTCATGTAAAAATATTCTTAAAATGCTAAGCGGCACATAGTGCCTACAAAGCATTGAAAAAGCGGTAAAAAAGTGTATATAAGCGTCTTTTTAGAGCTTTGCAGATGTTGCTGTGCTAGTTGGAATCTTAAAACTGTACTTAAAATGGTTATAAAATATAAGATCCGACTATGAATATCATTCTATAAAGTATAATTAATTTATAACATATTAAGATTGCACTTGAGATGATTTCAAATAAAAGATTATCATGAATACCAGGTTATAAATTCTACTAATAAATTAAAATTACATCCTGATTACGAATTCTTTGTTATATAAAATATCTTACGCAAAGATATTAGATCAGGAAAATTTTACCTACCGTAACAATAAATTCATTCGAAATACAGCTTTTAAAATTTAAACGAAAAAAAATAAGACAACTTACTTTCTATAAGTATAAGTCTGTAAACAACATTGTCACAAATTTTTCATTTTAAAATTCCGTAACTTTTTCCTAACAAAATTTCATGATTTTTCCTGACTTTCAATAATATTTTAAAATATTGTGTTTCATTCTAATCTTGGAAACTGTTAAATGTTTTGTTCAAAGATTAATTTAACATAGCAATGGAAATTACAATTAATGTTGCATTATCAATTATTAAGTCAGAAGTTCGAAAAATGCGTAGAGGTAGTGCATATTAAACTTCTTTAAAGCTAAGAATTGTTATTTTCCAGAAAATTTTGCAAATTTCCCTGACCTTTCCCCGATTTTACTAGCCGTTTTCTTCTAATTCCCTGACAATTTTCTCATTTCCAGTTTTGTGACAATCCTGGTAAAAGTTCTATTTTAATTTTAATTTTACAGTTTGAGAAGTAAAAAATATTTAATAAAATATGTATCATAATTATAACAAAGTATAATTAAAGTGTGAATTGAGTTTTGTATTAGACTGGAAATTATAAAACAAAAAGTTAACTTTACATTGTGAGAAATGTCCAATTTCTACATATAAAAAAAGAATAATTACATTTCTTTTAACATAATGACTGATGCATAGGTCTAGTACGTAATTACTCGCGTTATAAACGCTGCGCGTTTTTTTAGCGCCGAGACACTACCGTGTCTCTGGATACTGAGACTAAGAGAATGTCAGATATAGATACTTAAAAAAATATAATTATTTAGAATAAGAACTTTAAAGGAATTGAGCATAGCTCAAAACATTTTTTAATGCGTTTTATTGAACATTCTATGTGGGCAATTAAAAACAAACAGGCAAAGTCGTGAAAACTGAGAATAGTCAGGTTTAATAATTACATAATAGTTATATAATAGTTCAATAATTTAATATTGAAGATGCGAAGTGTATCATCGACATTGAACTGTATAGATGACCTACTTAGATCTTAATGACCTTCATTCGAGTACATCGATGAAAATAGACATGCAACAATTTTAATATATTATTTACTATCTGGCTAATTCAAATTCAAATCTATAGTAGACGTAACGTATATTATAGTAATAGTAATTCCCTAGTTTTTCGTATACTTTTTTCTTCTTCTTAGTTTTCACGACTTTCCCTGATTATTTTTTAATTCCTTATCTTTTTCTGGTTTTTATACAATTTTCCTGGGTTCCAAAACTCAACTCTGTCAACCAGAGTATCATTTTATCTTTGTTGTTTACTGAATATTGAACAAGGATGAAAGATACTCACAGTCGACAGAAGTTGATACAATTGACAAGTTTTGGAACAAGTTTTTATGTGTGTAATATATAAAACCACATAAATTCTCACTCACCAATTCTTACCCTCCAGGAGCAGGAACTTCGCCAATAGGAATAAAGCACCGGCTGTAAAACGAAATAAGAGAGCTATGAATACTCAGTAAAGCTCAATTACGCAAGTCAGTTTCGTTGAAAATTTAATATAATTAAATTGTTGTAAAACCACATTCACACACTATAAAAAAAAGTAGAAAAAAGTAACTACTGATAGATATGAACAATAAATTGTGAGTGTCAAAACACGCATTCATTAAAACATGTTTATATTACATCTGTTGATATTGTATGATGCTAATGATGGTCAATCCATTTGGCAGATACTCTCTCTCTCTCTCCTACTTTAGATAACCATACAAGCGACAAATCGCTAGGCGATTTGTGGAACTTATCACATAAAAAAAATTTTTTTAATAAATTATTTTTTGACAAATTTTAATCACAAAATATATGTAAAAAATTTTCAGCCTATAATGTCCAAGAATATTTGGAAAATACTTTTGAGAAACGTTTTTCGTAAAATCAAATAATTTTCTGATACACTTTTAACGAATTTCATTCACTTGCAGGCCGGAATTTTGAAGGAAATAATTCTGCGCGCATAGATATAAAATATATTCGCTAGTCAAGGAAAGAATTTCGCTACTGTGCGATTCTTTCTTTTTGAGCGGAAATAGAAACCGACAGTAAGATGCGCGTTCAATTGACAATCGTGGCGAGTAAATGTAGGTAGTAGCATTTATTTTCTCGCAATCGTGGATTTCAGGATTTCGAGGACAATTGTACATACACCGACAATTGTTCAACGAGATTTACCGATCATTTCGAGATATTGCAGTGAAATTTAATAATGCGTGATCACCAGTACAGTATTCGCAGAACGGCCGATTATGATGTTATCTTATTTTTTCCTCTCGCGGCATTTGTCTATTTGCATTTTGCCAGCCTACATAAAGGTTAATTCGCGCATAAATACTCACCTTACCCATCGCGGACATCATCGGCCTCTCGCGGACAACGCTCACCTTTCGCCACTTTTCGTCCGACTCTATTATCCGATCGATGACTCTGATATTATGCCATCGAATCCGTCAGAAGTAATTTAGAAGAATCGCTGTGAATTCCCTTTTATATTCGAGATTGCCGTTTCTTATCTCCAACTCTCTTCACCACTCTTCACATTCTCGTGATCACCCGTGATGCAAGTAGACAATAGGTCTGTTCTTTTTCGAAGAATTCTGAACTAATTCTGATGTGGGCAGGGTTGCCAACATTTTAAGAGATTTTTCCTACACGAGCATGTCTATTTAGTTAGAGATCAATTAAGACTGGCAGGCTTATTGGTTGAATTTTAAGATTTTAGGTATAAGACCCAAGCATAAAATTCAAAATCTACAAAGAGAAACCTGAGAGAGGACATGAGAGTCTTTTTCCTAAATTTTAATTATATGCATCCCCTATCTTTTTTGATATTCTTTGAGTAATAAAAGATTTGTTCGTATATAAGGCCCGTTCTTTGTGATTGAGCTTTTGCACCAGTTCATCTTTCTTCTTCTTCTTTCCTCCTGGAGAGAAAAGAAAGAAAGATGAACTGGTGCAAAAGTTCAGCCAAAAAGAACAGGCCTATAATTTGAGATTTGTTCGCGTCGCACGCTCCAACATGTTCCAACATACTCCTACCATAGCTCCTACTCACTCTACAGGTCTGTTTTTTTATTGCTGCACTTTCTAAACTAGTACACACAGTGCATTAAGTTGAAATGAAACAAACATACGTTTATTTTACTTCAACTTATTGCACTGGTTCAGAGTGCAGCAATAAAGAACAGACCTTATTAAGCGCGTTGGAGTGAGTGGGAGCTATGATAGGAGCATATTGGAGCGTGCAACGCGAACAAACCCATAGACCCTACTCACTCCGACAAGCTCGTTGGAATGAATAGGAACTATGTTAGGGGCATGTTGGAGCATGCGACGCGAACAAATCTAAAGATAGAACGTCCATTTGTTGTGTCGACTTGTGTCAAATGGAAAGCATCCCTAGTTTCAGTAGTTTCCATGGACAGGTGCTAAGACTAACATGGCTGCTACTGTTCTGCCTATTCGTCTTCTCGTGACATCGCCCTTTGTCTCGACAATACTTTTCTAATCAGCGAAGAATAAGGAGTACGGAGAGAGAGTGAGAGAGAGAGAGAGAGAGAGAGAGAGAGAGGGAGAGGGAGAGAGACGATGATGACGACGACGACACATTAGATGGAACAGCGAACTTCAATGGAAGACTTCAGCTAGCAAAATGTCAACCCGATCGCAGCTTACAAAGGATTTAAATGGTTCGTCTCTACTTTATCGTGTGTTTACGTTGCTCGTCATAACACTAGAATCGAACTATTTTTCACGCGAGTGCTCGTCTCTCCCGCTGGCGAACGTCAATATTGTTGTCCAACATTCTACATCTTGCGCGAGTTTTAGGATTAATTAGCCTGTCGTTGTATCCTTTTGGAGTAAAAAGGAGCGACTGGCCCGTAAAATCTTCGTACTATCTTTGAGATACGTTTTTGTTGTAAAAGTATAACTGTGTATAAATTTTATTCATTGCAGAATCGGTGAAAGCGCTACTTGGCAAGCATGTAAAAATACTATTAAAGAATGTGGTGAAATTGGAAACAAAACAGGACAAACAGGAAAATCGTGTTCTCGTGAGTAATTGTTTTTTCCATTTTTTTTTCTCTGCCTCTTTCTCTTTTTGCAATAATTTCTTATTTTTTGCATTGACATAAATTGATTTTGTCTTATCCTTAAGGTGTTCTCGCCATGTCGCCTCTTTCTCTTATCGGCCAAAGTACCCACAAGAGTAAGTAGTTTAATTAATATTCTCTTTTAAGCCGTTTATTCACACTAAGAGTTGCCAGTTGCAGTGTCTGGTTGAGTTGTATTTTATAGTGTTTTTAACGGGAGGATCCCGTTTGCCTACAGTTCTGATTGTACATACCACTCATATCAACTGGTGCCTAGTAATTTTTTACTGTTTTGCCAATGAGATTATTTTATTTTTAAATTGGCTAATCAGCGATACATGTGTGCAATATGCGATGTGTGCAATCGGAGTCCTCCCAATAGACCATAACATCATTAATCTAACCCAAGTTGATGCAGATCTGCTATAGTCGAAGATGTTGTTAGTCTATCACTTTGCAGCTGACTATATTCTCTGTATCATGATGGCTAAAATAAGACCAGAAATCTACAAGTTTTACCAATATAAGGCTAATTTAATCTTGGTTCCATTTGCTCTTTATCTTTTTTTAATTTTGAGAAATAGAAAAAGATAAACTTTTAAACTGAGATTAAAATTATTCCGAAATGGAACCGGATCATAAGTGTGATTTACTCTTTTATTACCATGTTGCATTTAAATTTTATTCTTTTGTAGATCGACTGCCATTTTCATTATCTAGAAGTAACGGCCATAGAGTCGAGAAGAGCAAATCAGCTATGTTTGACCGTCGGAGAACGGTATTACAATTTTACTACAAACAGCGTCGGCGGAGATACCACGGAAGTAGACGCTATGATAGAGGCCTTACACACGGCAATTCGAAATATCTTTCCTACAGTACCGTTAAAGTATGTTTTACTATATTTTGTAGCCAAGGAATACTTGCGAGACTCTGTTGATTATGTATTTTAAATATTTTTAGTTACATCATACGAAAAATAGAGGTAATACCAGCTAGCAGACTGCAGAGTATACGAGGAAGCGAGTTAGCTAGAAGTACAGAAGCCACGAGACACACAGGTCCCTGCGGGGGTTTCTCTACTCAATATGCGTGCATGTGTGATTTGCATGGTGTACCGTACAGGGAGGAAGTGGCCTGGGTGAGATTGACGGCATCGTTAGAATTTGCTTTAACAATGTCATATTATCTGCTACAAAAATCTTATTTAGACAGATACGAATTTCAGGATGTCGACACAATATACCTTTCACATGACACCAGAGAGCTTAATTTGACAGACTTCGATCATTTAGATCAGAAGGACTTGGTGCCAATTATTTCGGCCTTGGAGTATAACACTTGGTTCACTAAATTAAGGGCATCTCACCTCAAGTTAAATCACGAGCCTTTAGAAAGATTGTTACATGTTATGCGAAGATCTTTATCCATTCAAGAGCTTTATTTAGATAATCTCGGGATTAAGTGGTAATGGTTTAAACAATTAGTTTTTACACAAAGAAAATATTTAATGCATAATGTACAAATTTATTTTTAAAAGGGATTTCGCTCACAAGCTGTCGTTAGCCTTGATCTCTAACGCTAACACGATGTTGCAAACAATAGATTTGTCACACAACATGATCGAGGATAAAGGTATATACTAATTAATTTCAGTTATGTATTCAGTATTCTTTTTGTATTTGATATCTTTATCTGCACTACAACCCTTCGAGCTCTATTTTCCAATTGTTAACCGTAATTTAAAAAATGTCCTGAATAGATTTTTATTATATTTTTTGTAGGAGCCTCTAGCTTGTGTGGGATAATAGCCAAGTTAATGCAAGGTGTGCAAATAACCATGTATTTTAATTATTCCTAGTAATTATACTACAGGCATGGGAGCAACTCATTTTTCTCATTTATTTATTTATTTATTTATTTAGAAATATCACTCACATTTTTCTAAAAAAGACTCACTTTTCTCACTTTCTTCTTATTTATTTTGAGCACCAGACATGCGAAAATACGAAGAATAGTAAATAGATGAAATTTTCTAGGATTCCACAGGGGCAGTAGGAACTTTTATCTGTTCATGTTTTGATTATTTACTATCAATTTCAACATTTGTTAATAGATACATGAAAAATAAGTCATTTTCACATACATATACTATCATTCGTAAATTTGAGAACGATTTTTACGCATCTCATGAAAAATTAAATATCTTGGTGAAACAAAATCATACAAAAGTTTTCAAAGATGTATTTTAAAGAGAAAAGATAAAGCTGTAAATTTATTTTTTAATTTTGTTTTTACAATATTTTGTTCCTAAGTGACATAAAATAAAAAATTTTTTCAATACTTTTATTTTACTTTGAAAAGCATTGTAAACTGCTAAAACATTATTAAACAAAAATTTATGAAAAAATTTTAAAATAGGATCTGAAAACAAATTTTTCTTCTGTTTTGTTTCTGTAAAGAATTTCATTTTGAAGTTGACATTTTGTTAAAGTGAGTTTTTACTCAAGAAATTCAATATTGTGAAAAATCATTGTACTTTTTTTAAAATCAATTTTTTCAATATCTAATTTCTTATAAAAACTCATTTTTATAAACTGAAATTAAATAATTTATAGAAAAGGAGACAGAAAAATGTTTATTATATTCTCGATTTATATGAATAAAAAAAATATTTTTTCAAGACTTTTTAAGTGTTTCCATGTTCCTGAATTTACGAACGGTAGTGTTATTGCAACAGTTGATATCGTCCCTGAGCTTGGCTGGCGGACCGAGTTGGTGAGGAAAGCGTCCACTGTAGAAGCCACGCTCTGTCAGGCCTGCTCTATGTATTACGAATCTTTTTTGTTTCCCTATAATATAAGACATTATAAGATAATATGTTATATTGTTATATAAATATAAACAGTATATAATAAGTAAATTAATTTTTAACTTATATATTCTCTAAAAAAAGCTTATTTTTTCATTATTTTTGAAAAAATAGCTAAATTGCTCCCTTGTCTGTGCTAGTATATGATATGCTTTTCCTTTAAACACGCATCTTTATTTTATAAACTTATAAGAGACTCATATTTATTTCTTTTTCTTTTTGTTTTGAAAAAAATTATATAATATTCCAGATTTTACTCTATACAAGCATTGCGTTAATATGTAAAAAATTATTGACCTCTGCAAGCAAAAGCTTCTATTATTTTTATTATTTGTACACTAGACAAAATTTGTAATATATTTTTAAGGTGGTACTCATCTGAGCGGCCCTATTGGCAAGTTGCCTAAAGGTTTACAAGAATTAAATTTGGCCCACTGTGGACTGACCGGGAAAGGTATAAGTCAAATAGCTCACGCATTAAGCTTGAACAGAAGCATGCCGACTAGTTTGCGATATCTGAATCTTTCAGAAAACACCTTGAAGGACGACGTCAATGTGAGTTTGTAACTGCAGGCTGATCTTGGCGATAAGCTACAGAATCTTAATTTGTGTAATGATTGCAATAATTAAAATTATAATTCGTATTTAATGATTACAGAATTTGTGCAATTTCTTGGCACAACCTAATAGTTTAACACATCTAGATCTTAGCGGTACGGATACTACTTTAGAATATGTAAGTAGCTAATTTTGCATAGCCTTCTTTTAAATAATAACTTCAATACTCGACCATCCTTACAGAAATTTAAATCAATTTAATGGAAAGTAATGTTTGTTAATGCTTTTAATACTAAAATAAATAATTAATCATTACCTTCCAGTATTAAATTGGTTTAAATGTCTGTAAAAGCAATACAATTTGCATTGTTTTTTATGACTTGATTTAGTTGTTCGGTGCATTACTACGGGGTTGTGCAACTAATTTAGTCCACCTGAACGTTGCCCGGAATTCCTTTTCAAGCAAGAAGACCAAAGAAATACCTCCAAGTTTTAAACAATTTTTCACGGCGACCCTCTCGCTGAAGTACTTAAATATATCTTCGTGCAAACTACCGTTGGAGGCATTAAAACATCTGCTACTCGGTTTAGCGTGCAACGAAAGTACAGTTGGCCTAGAGCTTGACATGAGCGGAAACAATTTGGGTTCCATGGGCGCGCACGTTCTGGAATCATGCATTCACGGAGTTCGGTGTATAGCGTCGTTGGATATATCGGACAGCAGTACGTATACAGCTATGTAAGAATATAATAACGAATTCGATTGGATGCACTCAGTGCGCATTGGTGCATCCAACATTAAAACTACCGTACACAGGTTGATATAAAAGTGTGTGTTTAATATAAATATAGAAACGGATTAAACTGGCATATCTTCTACTCATTTTATTGCATTGTTAGCAAAAATGTGTATTTTATAATTCGAAGTATTTTCATTTCACTTTTACACTCAAATAAAATCAGTATACAATGGCTTTAATTATGCACTAGTGCGCCCAACCGAATTATTCGCTATAACGTGTTTCATAATTCGCTTCCAAATTATGTAGTGTTGATCAATTAGTTGTGGCAAATACAAAAAACCTATTACTATAAATTGTAAAACTATTCAATCAATTTCTGGAAACTGACTGTATGGTTTTACAATTTATATAACTCGATTCCTTTCGATTTCATATCTGTTTCAAATCAAATGGATATAAGGTTTTTTTCAACATTTTTATTTACAGACATGGACGTCGATTTGGCACAAGTTGTAACGGCGGTGGGTAAGAACAAATCGATAAAGCAATTATACATGGGACGTAATACCGCCAGTATGAAGAGCAAGCACATAGCTGTCGTGATGGACGCTCTGGTGCAGATGCTTCAGGAAGACGATTGTGTTCTTCAAGCGTTACATTTACCCGATTCTCGATTAAAAGGTGATCTCTATAACCTAATTAATGCTCTTGGTAGCAACACGTGTCTACACGTCTTGGATATTAGCGGTAATCAGATAGGTGATCCTGGTGCGAGGTTGCTGGCAAAAGCGTTGCAAATCAATAATCATTTACGGACCATTATATACGACAAGAACAACATCACGTTACAAGGCTATGCGGATATCGTTCACGCTCTAGAGAAGTATGCGCATGTATCCACATAGATCGAAATAAGAAGGAATACAATAAATTCATTCAAAAAATTTATTCTTACAGAAACTGTAGTGTACGACACATGCCGTTTCCCATTTATGATCTGCAACCTTGTATGAAAACTTCTGCAGAGAAAACAGAGCAGTTAGTCAAAAAGATACAAGATCTGTTGCAAAGAAATGTCACGCCGTGCAAATATAGTCATGGGCAAGCGTTCCGATTGCAACAAGGATTTCTGTTGAGTTCTACGCAACAAATGGTCGATAGACTCGTCGTTCAAACTCAAGACACTATAAAGGCCCTCGCGGCAGAGAGTTGTGATTCTAATAATGATATCAATTATGCGACTGGGCTTATACAAGATGCGGATAATTCTAAACAAGTATGATTGATAAAATTTGGCAAAATTAGAGCTTTAATTGAGACATTGAAATATTCACGCTTGTTATGTCCTTTTACAGCTACTGCCAAGATTACACGAAGTGCTTCAAAGACGCGACGAGAATAATCCAATCGAGCAAAAGCTACATGATATGGCAAACGAACTTCATAAAGTTATAACGACATATCTACAGGTATGTGTTGAATGAATTTTTACAGTTACTTTCTTACTCTTGCTACTAGTTTAAGTCACAAATTTAGAATAGTTATTATTTTCTGAGAAATATGATTATGTGTAACGTGAGAAACTTATGTTGATTCAGGATTCTTTGGATGCGATGATAAAATGCGCAAATGAGCAATGTCCTACTATACTTTCACAAATGGTGATCAGAGGCGATGAGAGTGAGCCGATCGCAGTACAAGATGATCTTCGTAATACGTGTAAAGAGAAAAACCAAATTAATAACGAATTTATACATACTACTGTTACCGAACAAGCTGGCGCAGATATAGTTAATAGAATTAAGTAAGAATTTTGCAATCTTAATATAAATATATCGATTTGTTTTTATAATAATTTTAATTCTTTTCTCTTTTTTCGTAGTGAGCTTAATTTAGCAGTTGCGGCGCATATATCCGACAGAATCACGGACGAGGTAATCGAGTCATTATCAAGAAGTTATAAAACTTTGGTAAGTTTCAAAACAACTTAATACCATGTAAAATATATTATCACTCTTAATAGAACATTCAATTTAATTAACGCTTTATGGTGTGTGTGTGTGTGTATATAGAACGACATATTTGCACTATTTATAGTTATAGCAAACGGTTATGATACAAACTGAGCTTTACATTTTTTTCATAAATATGTGTGTTTAATTATACTGTTTCCGTTTAATGGTTTACTCATGTACACGATTGTGTGTTATTTCATTATCTAGCAATGTTTCGCTTATATTTTTATCCATCTAATAATTACATGCAACAATAATATATAATGTATATGTCAATCATAAGACTGATGTTAAGTGATAGCACTGTGCCATTAGCGGATCTTAAAGTAACATTAATGAAAAAGAGAGATCAAGAAAATTTAATTGCACAAGCAGGAGATTAGTTTTTGAGCTTTAATAAAGTTTTCTATTGATATTCACATTATTTAATTCATCAATTAACAAAAATTTATAGTTTACATACTCAGAATATAAATTCTGAAACAACAAATTGATGTGTCTAAACGAATAAATTTTTATTTTTGGAAAGGGATATTCATAGTTTTTTTTCATATCGATGATTCTCTTATAATGATACACAAGGTAATACAATAAAATACTTTCAGATTGGCGATTGTGATAGCCGAACGAGAAGTAGTACACCAGATGTTTTACGACCTAGCGCTGGCTCGATGAGTAGCGGAAGCGTGATAGGCGTGACTAGTGCGAGCGGTGTATCCATGACTTTACCTCCTTGCAGAGTTAATCTCATGTCCGAAGAGGACTGTCCGCCGGAAACATGTTCGCTAGCAGATTCTATTGGTCAATGCGTTAATGATCAATCACCAATGGTAAGAACTTTAAATCCTTTAATTTCTTAATATTGGACAATCGTGAGATAATTACTTTAAAAGTACATAAAGAACATATACATTATTTCCTATATACAATATAAATATTTCCACTCGAATTCGCTTGATATGCATCTAAGATACGTTATTTTTGTTTACACGCTCTCTTACATAGAAATTGGATTATCTTAATCTGGTAGGTATTACAAAAGTATATAAAGATAAAAATAAGAATCTTATTGGATCATACATGTGAATACACAATCAATAGGAAATAAAACCCATAAATGATTATTATACATCAATATTGTATAAAATATTTTGATACCGTTTTATTCAGGCAACACCACATCTATCGAATAAGCGTAAAAGTCTACATGGAAGAAAATTGAGGCCCAAATCCGTAGTGGACTCAGTAGAAGGATTATCCGCTGATGATATACCGGATCTGTTGCCATCATTGCCGAAGAGTCAAGCGGAAGGTTTGTATTCATTACTCTGTCATGAGTCTGTAAAGTATATGCAAAATATATGATTGGTGCTTTGCAGCTATTTCGGAAACTGAGCACTCGTTGACAGAGTCATTAGATTCCGTCTCGGAATTACCTAACACTGTGAGCCAGCAGTTACAACATCTAGTGAAGTCTAGACCGCGCAGAACGAAAACGCGAGCGCCCACGAGACCGATGTTAAGACCAGATCAACCGATTGACGGTCTTGCTCTGGGCGAAGGTCTCGACGTGTTCTTTCGACCTACTACACCTACCACGCCTTTGATCTCGCCTACGAGTGACGACAGGTTAATATAACACTCTTTCACATTAACTTTTGGTGGGGTATATTTCTCTTTTCTTTAGTTTTTCTTTTGTTCGTTTTCAACGCACGGACTGTAAAAAGCTACTTATTGTAATTTACAGTTCTCTACATACTTTTCCAACGGATGGCAGTCCTAATTTATCGCTGACGAGTCACAAAAGCATTCCACCAGACATAGAGAAAAAGCATAGTTGTAATTCACCGATGCTAAAAACGCTTTTGGAACCCACGCCGCGCTCACGTTCCAGCGACAACTTGGAAAAGTTTTCCCCCCTTGTTGGTAGAAGATCACAAGGTGATTCGCCGCTTACTGCGTCACCGCTCGCCCGAAGAAATACTACGGACAGCGCTCAAGCTTACGAGAGATCCAAAGGCGAGATTTTCGTGAAAGAGATCTGTAACAGCGCTGCTGCGAATGACATAAGCGACGATTCTAGGCGCAGCACACTAACAAACGTATCTAATATGAGTCCGCGTGGCTCGCATGATATTGATGACACCTTCGGAGCGAACACGTCGGAAAGGGACCAAGAGAATCGTAAAAGTGTTGCGAAGAAATCCGTAACTGATGCAGAGAAATCATCTTCGTCCGTCAAGCTACGATCAACCGGTCACGATCTGAAAAGTCCAATAAACAGTAACAGCAGCGGCACCAAGAGCATATCCGATTCAGCCAAGTCTCCCGTATTAAAACCATTAAAGAATGTCGGGTCTACGAGCGACGGAAAAAGCAACGGCTCACTTATCAAAAATAAGCCCACTCCACCAGCGACGGCACCTAAACCGCGACCATGGAGCATGACCACCGATCGAAAATCTGGTGAGAAACATTAAGAAAATATTTTCCAGTAAGAAGGTACAGATCACATATAGCGAATTTGATTGAATGCACTCGGTGCGTACATTAAATTGTGTGGTGCACATTAAGGCTCTTGAGTACTCACCTAAGGTAGCTAATCTAAAAGTTTACTAAATTTTACAGGAGAATTCAGTCTGTTAAGTGATGGTTCTAGTCCGAACACCTCTGCTGGCAACACGCCCGACTCTGGCGATGCTCTCGATGAATCGACTGACAGCGGTGTCAGTGGACCGGCCTCCTTGCCGCCGACGTTATCGACAAGCAGCACCGCGAGTTCGTTGAGTAACTCGAGCGTAGAAAAGAGATCGGTTAGAGAATTGGCAGCGAGCTTGAACAAGAGCAAAACAGATAGGAAGGAAAACGGTAAGTGCTTTTCGTTTCGATTACTCGCTTCTCTGTGTCGCATGGTTGAATTTTTTTTTTATTTGCCACATTTCTCGATCCTAGGCATCATCGATACACACATTCTTACGTTCCTTAATATAACTCTAAAAACGCATGTATATAAATCCTTCAATGTACAAGCCACACCTGTTACCTATTATTTTAGAGCATGCCGCACCTGCAGCATGGCGGTCACTACTTCAACGTTCTGTCGATCGAGCAGATACTAAGGTATTTTATGTACATTTTGTTTTATTTTTTTTCCCTGTCAAGAAGTTCTCTTGTTGCAGCTGAAATATATTTTTTGTGAGATGCGGACGTACGTGCGTGTGTGCGTGCGTGCGTGCGTGCGTGCATGCATGCATGCATATTTATAGTTTCATGTTAGACTGAATGCAATCTCGTTATTAATTAATCGAAGTAATCAATGAATCAATTTTAAAACATTCACATAAAGAGATCTTTTGGATGCTTTATATATTATATTATTTTATAGTCATTCTCTCTCATATTGTGTAAATCAGAACTGTAGGCAAACGGGATCCTCCCATTTATTTATATTATATTTAATTTATAATATAAATTTATTTATTAAATATATATTTTGTAGATAATTATTTAGATTAGAGGAGCCCTTGAGTCACCTCCAACAGGTTTTATCCGTCGCTCGTTATTCGTTACAAAATTATTAATAATCAAAGTTGGTTATTATTTCTCCGCTTTGGATGACTTTAGGCAGGGGAGGAGGTATGGGGTAATCCGACTAGATGCGGTCGACTTTCCATACGAAACGAGGATCACCCCAGCTTCCCCCTACCTAAGGGAAATTGGTCGCTCCTAGATAGGGGGAGATGGGATAAACTTCACTTCGCGTGGAAAGTCGTGCGCCCTTAGGCAGGAGAAAGATATGGGGTGAATCTTGCTTCGCGAGAAAAATCGTTAGACAAAATCAAATTTTTTGCTTTAAAAATAAACTCTCTGCTTTAAAAACAAAAATTATGTAAAAAAGTTATATTTTCAAAGAAAATTTTTAGAGCAAAAATTTATTTTGAAACAAAGCTTTGTTTTATATAGTAGAAAAGAGAACGTTATTTCTTAAACTTATTTTGTTAATAATTTTTTAACGGCTAACAAGCGAGACGGCTAAAATCTGTTGGGGGTTACTCGGGGCCATGATCTTGATAATATGTGTTAAGATCAAAATTATTGGTAGAGGGGTTCCCCTAATATAAATAATTATTATTTTATAAAATAAATAAGAATTATTGCAACATGCTGCTTTATAGGCAACGGAAGTGCCGAAAATGGTTGAGGAGAGCCGTTTCAGCTTTAAGCTTCGTCGCACGTCATTCTTGCGTGATTCAAATTTCAACTATAATAATAACGATGTGGTGGATGTTTGATCGCGCTTGAACAGGTGACCCAGCATTGCACTACAAGGAGTATTTTCTTCCGTATGCTGATGCCGGCTATCTGACAAACGAGATAACAGTACTTTTCGTCTTCGTGCCATAACAAGTCTTATTGTGTATATAAATATGCATACATACACCTTAACCGGTTTTAGCGTTAAAAACAATAGGTATTGAAAATTTTTACAATAATTGAAGTATTAATCTGTTGTTAAAGTGGCATTAGAGAATCTTATACTAGTTTTATTTAATGTCGCGTGTTTACACGCAACCGTAAATTTCTAAGCCGTAAATGACTTAGTCACGTACTCACATATTAATTGTATACGTTTTATGTACGAAGAAAAAAATGTAGTTATTTTTAACCCTTCGTTGGCACACTTTTGTAAAGTTTCACGGTTATCATATTGGATTAAATTGGCCAATTGCTGCCGCTCTAAAACTATCCGTCTGATACGAACAAAAAAAATATAGAATATACTTTAAACATTTTAGGAGCACCATTTCAAAATTTCAATTAAAAGAGTTAAAAAATGAAGACGTTACAATTTTTTTTTTTATGTTACAGTTCACTTTTTTACGTATACGTTTTTAAAAAAATTTTTAACATATTGTTATTTGGTTCATGATACTATCATTAATAAAACACTTTCTATTAACGATAGCATTGTGAACCAAATAACAATATGTTAAAAATTTTTTGAAAACGTATACGTAAAAAAGTGAACTGTAACATGAAAAATTCGTAACGTCTTCATTTTTTAACTTTTTTAGTTGAAATTTTGAAATGATACTCCTTAAATTTAGTATTTTCAAATGAAAATATGTACTAGTGCGCGTTCGAAGGTTCAATTACGAGCTAGTTATACAGCCTGAAATTCTGACTACGAGTCATTTTGACCCGTGGTGACAACGAAGAGTTAACCAGGTTAACCTCGCATTTCGATCTTTTTGTTAAGATATTTGACATTTTCAGTGAGATTAAGCCTCATTCCAATTTTTTGGCGATACGTTACGATGCCACGTAAAGATATTATTAACGAAAGCGTTCATTGAAGATCCGTTTCGTTATATGTACATACTTATATATGTTGTTTGTCTACGCATTTTAACAGCGAGAATGTCTGGAACAGACGGGACACATCACAGTTTCAGCGAAACAAGCCAAATTTCCATATAGGACGTTAAGAATAGCGGCAACTATGAAATAGGATAATATGTAAAAGAAGCGTGAGTGTCTTCCAAGATCGCACAAGTTACAGCAATGACATCACGTTCTTCATTCGAAAAGATAACATCCATTATAATATTTTTCCATCGAGTGCAACATATTTTTACTGTGATTAATTCGTAGAAATGAATTTAAATACGATTCAGTCTAGTTGAAGTTCCTATCATGCAACAATATGTTTTACTATCTATAGACAAGTGTATTAGCAGATGGATCCTTCGGCTACGTAAATTCTAAATAGCAATTTTTTACTTATATTTATGCAGCTAATAGTTTTTTAACCGGAAGATAGAATTGATTGCGCATATAAAATGAAAACTTATCTTTAACGGATAATCGTTAACGAACAGGTTTTTCCGCATAAGTTGGTATCTGTTATTTTGCGGAAATTCTGAATCGATCTCGATTCTTAATTCGTCGTGATACTCCTCTAAAATTTTTTTTACTGTAAGAATTGAATACAAATCAAGTAAAGCGTTAACAATCACTGACGTAAAGTCTACCACGAAAAATTTGTATGTGCAACCACAGTCGTGTTTTTTAACATTATTGACTGAGAATGTAGATTTCTCGATATGTATATCTTGTCATTCAATGGAATAGGACTAACAATGCAATATTATTTATCGAGATACTTTCGCGCTGCGAACATTCGAAGAGAATTTTTTTGTAATAAAAATGTTTTTGTAGGCATTAGGTCGCTACGAAATTATATAATCTTGTATCGAAGACATATTTGCCATTTTATATAGCGACAAACGCGTGTACATATATATGTAAAAAAAAAAGATTTACGTATAATAATAAGGACGAGCGAAGTGAATCGTGGATAATTTTCATTGATCGAAGTGAAATAACGCGGGAAAAAAATCGAAACATCTCTTGTGGATTTTTTACCATGCTTAATTATCATTACCTAATATTATTATTGATCCCTTATACAATGCTACATAGGATATGTGATTGTTATATCTTATTATAATATTACATTAATACAAAGGAGAGTATCTCCCTCACATTAAGCGGACGAGTATTAAAGTATCGTGTTAATAAAAATTATTGTATGCGTGCGCGCGCGCGCGCGCGCGCGTGTGTGTGTGTGTGAGTGCGTATGCGCATATACATATGTCGCAAGATATATTTAGGTTGTAAGAGATAAAACGTATATAAGATAGAAGCGATTGTTCTACCTATATGCGAAATGTGCAAGATCGTATACAGAGTGTCTCAGACTTACAGTGACATTTAATATTAATAAGTCTCCTGAGATTATTTTGAGATGAAAATCAGTCTCACATCAAAATGCTGAGACTGTAATAATTATTAAATGAGGAATATTTGAAGTTACCTAATCAAATTGTCCGAAACTTACGCGTCCAGATATATTTTAAAGTATCGTTCCTAGAATGGAATGGGATTATCTTAAATCTGGTCATGGGCAGTTTTAAGACCCCATCTAACCAATTAAATAATTGTGCGTCTCAAGATCATATATAAGATAGTTTTAAATATAAGATCTCCAACTATGGCCAGTATAAGCAGTCCGATTTTATATTCAAGATTGTCTGAAGTCTGGTCATGAGCAGTCTTTGAAGCGGTATTCATAGTCCAATCTTATAAAGATATTTTAGAGTGATATATTTATAGTTCGACCTTATATTCGATCGTCTTGAATCTAATAATAAACGATCTTAGGATTAATTCCACTTAATGAAATGATCGTGTTGAATCTTGAGATCGTACTCTAAGGACAACCTTAAATATAAAATCGAATTCTTGAGATTGATGTAATTTTACAAACATTCATTACTGTGCGATATGTTTTATGTTTGTTATGCCTGAGCACGGGAATTTCGGACATTTTGATTAATCACAATTTTAAATGCTTTTCATTTAAAAACTGTTATAACTTTGGCATTTTAGTATTAATTTTCATCTCAAAATGGTTTCGGGAGTCTGTCGTTAACAACGTAATTGAGATAAGTCGGATACTCTATGTGTAATTGTAACATTATATAAGACACCTTTAAAACGAAAAGGGATATCGATCCTAAAGAGCGTATTTCTTAATTTAATATGCAGATTCCGCAAAAGGACGCGCTCACGAACTTGCATGATCCATTGTAAGAAAGTCTTGCATTAATACTTAATCGATTCTACACGAGAGATAGTCTCTATTCGCGTAAGAACGTTTTTGCGATATTTACTTTTAGGTACGCGTCATTCTTGACGGTTTTGGACTTGCTCCTAGGGCGTAATATTTTTAAACACAGTCTCTCTTGTATTCATTTATTCGAGACTAAAAACTTACACGTATATAATACACACGTCTTGTGCTGCGTTACGAGTGATTTGTAAGCAGCGTACACGCACTGTTTATTCCGATGAGATGTATCTATGCGAGAGAAAATTAGACATCACATCGCGTCGTAATACGACTTGCTGTCTACTGTGCCAAAACACCTATTATACAGCAATTACGCGTAACTTTTTTACGATTAGAAGAACTCGCTCCACCCTTGACCGATTCTCCGGTCCGTCGCGTTGTTTGTATCGCGTCATTTAATTCTCTCGCAGGCAGATTCTATAATATTGTACATAATCGAGGACCCAGTAATCTTTCATTCCATAATATTACTTACTAACCGGAGTTAATTGCTTTAATTTATGTAATATATATGCGTGTGCGTGTGCATATGTGCGTGTGTGTGCGCGCGTGTGTGCGCGCGCGCTGACTCACGCACAGGTAATATATGTGTATATATGTGAGTGCGTTCCATTTCCACGCTCACACGCTGGAAGCATCAGTTCATTCTTATTGTCAATCAAATATTAAATAAGAACAAATAATGCTTAGCGCTGCCAAACGGAACGCATTCACAAACGTATATTAACAGGGTGTTCCCAAATTAAATGTCAAAACTTCGAGAGCGTATAGGGAATCATTAAACTAACAAAAAAAGTTCTTTAGAGATTTGTTTTCGCTTTGTCTTAAAGAAGATTGCACAAAACGAAGAATTAAAAAATATTTTACCTGAAAGAAGTCCAATGATATCAAATCGGCAATTTTTAATAATTAATACCTCGTTAAGTATTGCGAGAATTGTAAAGTTGTAGAGATTGTAATAGTTTAAAAAATTACGACTGTAATGGTCACAAGAAAGTAATAGATCAATGGCCATTCTAGAAAGATATTTACATGTATAAGCTTGCACATAGATTTATAGCCTCGAAAAGTAAACATAATCTTAACTTGTTTTTGTTTGGTGAAGATGTAGTTGTTGATTTATTATTGTATGCTGTATATTTTATACTATATTATTATACACATAATTTTAATATTTTATCCAAATTATGTAGATATTTGTGATTTTGAGCAGGCCCTATAGTGGGATACCCCAAATTTTCGGCACTTTATTAAAAAACCATTTTAATAACAATAATAAGGTTTGTTAAGATCAAGGTTATGATGGAGGTTCTTCTTCTTTTCATTTTTACGTAAAAGTAAAAATAAGAGAAACAATCTCCAATGGTTTTGATCTTGATAAATGTTATTAAGGTCATGAACCTGAACAATATTATAATGTTAATGCTGCGCGGTGGTACTTGAACTTTACGCTGAATCTACCAAAGAATTTCGAATTTCGTTCTAAAATTTTAGGATGTATTCTCGAAGAGTTGTACTGTCAATGTATGAAAAAAATTGATTTTTTTTACCCTGTAAATCAGGCGCTCCCCTTAATTTTGAAATTAAACTTTTTACCAAATTTCATCGAAATCGAAGAAAGCGATTTCCGAAATTCTACCCGACCAATTGAATCATCTCATTGTTCTACGCATATAAAAAGCCTATAATACAATTATTAAAACATTAATATTTTACAAGATACTTTTCATATTTTATATCAATATGTGCCAGAATTAAGTATATTCGAAAACTGTTGATTTTTCGTCATCTCTACCTCAATACTTTTATATATTATACATATGTTATATGCAAAATAATTAGAGAAATCATATTACGTAGAAAAAAATCATAATTTCATTAAAATAGTGATAAACTTCATAAGATTTAAAAAATTTGATTTTTTTCCGAAAATTAATTTGCACTTTTTTTAAATCATATATCTTTTGTTTGAAACATTTTTATATAAAACTGAAAATAAAAAAACTAGAAAGAAAGAAAATTTTGGAAGGTGATCGATTAAAACGGGACATCCTGTATATATACATACATATATAAGGAGAATCAGATGCGTGTGTGTGACGTATGTGATGTATAGCGTACGTGTGATATATGAGATATATCGTATATCAAAATCTTCCCTGGTATTCATTCCTGTACGCATTACACGATACATTTCTATATACATACGAATGCGAAAAAAATTACATTATACACACGCCTAAATATATTGTGAATATTAATGTCTCGATCGCATCCAACATCGCGTCTGCTCGAATGGATCGAGGATTGAGCGACTCATCGATGTTAACATTTGCAATCTATTTTGCCGGACTTGATACAAGTGCGACATTAATCCTTTAACAAATAAAATAAAGACTCATAACCGCATATTTAGAATTGAATGACTTTCATTTTCCATTTGGTTTAATTGTAGAATGTCTTTTCACAAATTCCAGAACATACCTCTGTGTAGGTGGTATAAAAATACTATAATTATATTTACTGTAACAATAAATTATAATGATATATATATTAGATACAGCACAAAGGTATTACGTACTTCAAATAATATAAGATTATGTAGTAATAGTAATTAATAATTAATATTAACAATAAAATGAAAAATTCATAATGTTTTCGACAGCAATTAATGGTACAAAAGAATATTTTTATTAATAAATTTACTAACAGAAACATTCTTTTACGCTATTAATTGCTTTATTAATTACTTTATGTTATTTATAACATAAAGCTGTACATATAGCGTATAATTCTATTTCTTACTCAATATAATTCTACATTTATATTAAAATATAAACGGTTATATATAATAATAACAAAGTTAAATCAGGTATGCATATGTGTAGTAAAAGTTAATATCAACTTAAAATATATGCTTAGAAATAAAGATTGTATAAATGACAGGGGCCGTGCAAAGAGTTTCTAGGGACCCTAGTGCAAATAGATAAAGATGGGCTGCTACTTTAAATTTATTTATATATGTATTGAAAAAGCTTTGAGTAGTTTAGAAATTATAACAAAATAGTATAATTACAATTATGTTTATTTATATAAATGTGTACATTTTTTAAAATAAAATTTAATCAAATTATACAAAACATACAAAGAGTTCTCTAAAATGTAAATATAAAATTTGTGTACATATATAAATTTATAATTTATAAACAGAACTCTATAAACAGAATTTTATAATATAATATATTATAGGACCGTACATGTGATAACACAAACTATAGAAATCAAAGCCTTTACACGGTCTAGCTGGATCTTAATGCTTGTATGAT